GGGTTCGCTCTGCCAAACTACCACGTAGTTTCGTATATTAACGCTCGTGGTAATGGCGGCCACTATCTTTCTGTTCTAGCCTTTTTTCAACGAATTATGCTTTGATCACTTCATTTTTGTTTTTTTTTTCATTTTCTTATCACGGGATAGCTTTTGCTTTGTTATTTTGCGATTTTTTGCTAGCCTTTCCTCGAGCTAAAACTGTTTTCTTTGGTAGACTGTAGTAACCTGAGATGTTCGGCGTAATGGGAAAAGATTGAAAGAAACAGGGATTGAAAATTGAGTTCTTCAGTTTCGATGTGGCCTTTTTCTGGTAACTAGGTACCATTTTGGTGCAGCACTGTTTCAGAGCCCGAGTTAGGGTGAAGGAGGGCAAATAAGTAGATGTGCTGCTTAAATTGCCTCACCCAGTCTCTCCATAGGCACCTGAAAATTATCGTGAAGCCCCCATCCCAACATGAAGGTTCAATGCCTCTAGTTTGAATTTCTTAAAAAAATTGATTTCATGCGGAGTTCAGTTGTTAGTACGAGTAAATAAAATTGTAAAGATCTGGACGGCAGCAATAACCAGCTCTCCAATAACTGCCGACTGGATTCGTGGTCCATCGAGGGCATTCAGTCGAAGTGAGTAGTGGCACTTGGGTAACATAGAATTATTCCTCACTGGTGTGGCGACGAAGTTTCTGAAACAATAAACATAGGTGACTGAAGAAAAACGCAGTGTATACAGCGTGCTACTTTTAATGTCAAATGGGAGTGCGCCATGCGCTCGTTTCTCATAGTTTTTGGAGCATTTTGAATTCTTACTGAAGTGACATATGTATGAGTCCAAGAGGTCCTCAAGTGATTTCGAGAAGAGCTGATTTTTGACGACAAAAATCCGCCTTGAATTGTCTCGCCAATTTTGCAAAATTTGTGGACCATAAGGAAGATCAGGGCGGTCGGCCTTTTTGAGATGCGCTTGCGTTCTACTTCTATTCGGGAACGAAGTGGCATTTGAATGCTATTGTTTTGAACAATTACTTGCGAAGGCATCCTGATATACAACCCAGTGCGCTTCTATTCTCTTATCGGGTCTCGGTCCAATTAGCCGACCGCTGGGTGAAGGTCACTTGGCCTGGTAAGTCACTATCCAAGATTCGATCCCAGCGCAGTGTGCATGGTGAGCAGCGCCACATCCCACTACATCCGACGACACTACACACATAGTATTCTCATAGTACCAATGGCTTATTAAGCACCAGTCTTTCAACTCCAGAAGCTTCACTTGTGAGAAAAAAACCCACACTGTGTTCGTACACTACCTTTCGATGGATTCCCCCGCGAGCGCATATGAAGCAGGTGAGATCGTATATTTGTCCTCTCGTTCAGTAATCGTAGGCCCAGCAACAGAGAACCAACTAAACTCCGAAGATGCAGTCGCATCGCCGATGAGATAACAACTCTGACTGTTATAAATTGTAAGTAACAATTGTAACAAAATTGGTAGAAACGGTGTCAGGAGCAGAAACTAAAAAGAACCTGCACTGAAGAAAAAAACAAGGACCTTTTTGCTCCACACTCCGCACTGACCTTCTAGAGAAGTAAGAAACTTTGGGAGCGTATTCTGAAATAACGTTCGATTAATTTAGGTTGGAAAGAGCTAGGATTAACGTTTACTTGTATTAGGCTGATCGACCAATTAGGACTTTCGGAATAAGCCATGAATCCGCAATCCAGTAAGAATCGTGGATGGAGCGGAACAAGAGTTACTACTAATCTGCTTCCGGACTGCGCCAAATCCCAGAGTGCTGCTCTACGAGTCTGGTTGTGTGGGGGATTTCAATTTCTCCTACATCACAGCTTGTAAATAAGGTTTACGGTCATAGAAAGAAGGCCATCTGCGTCTCCAGATCTGAGTCGATTATGTAACTGCCGGTCAACAAGCATGTAAATTATACTCCCTTTCAAAAAGCGAGAAAGCGTCGGGTGCAGACCATACACCACAAGTGACGACGGCCTTCAAATAAATGTTTTTTGCCAATGAAATGATTAGCCTGTTGCAGTTGTATTCTATCAGTTGTCACTAATTACAACTATCATTTACCAAAAATCAGCTATCACTATGAACCACTAACCACCAGATTTTACTTGGAGCCGTCGTCACTTGTGGTGTATGGTCTGCACCCGACGCTTTCTCGCTTTTTGAAGGAGAGGTAAAGTAGTAAGCCGACAGGAATATTTTAGGGGGGGGGGGGGGCGGATATGTTGGATAGCAAACGTATCGAGGGCTTTGTTTTCATAATCTCTCGGATAACGCCATATCGAGCACACCGGAGGCGAAGCGAAGCTGTCTCGGAATGGTTCGCCATTTGCGACGATTCATGGTGAATTCAAAAATCTCACCTTCGTGACATATTGTAAACATTCAGGATCCTTTTCCCGATGGCTGGCAAAGATTCTTCCATTGAACGGGTGTTTCAGTACAATCCCCATGACACCCTCTCCACAAATGATTACAGGAGCTCCTGTAAAAGCTACTGCAAGTAGCGGTTGATTGCAATGTATTTGCATCTTTCAAGATCGACAAACAGATATTTAGGTCGTTCGATAAAATGACAACCAGTTGCTTGGATTACCCTTATAAGGGGCTACAAGCGCTCAACCTCCACTGTTTGGTCCCAATCCATGGAAGATGTATTCTTGTACAAAAATTATGGAAGCATATAAACCTGTAGGCTTTCTTCGCTCCTGTCTGGTCGGTAATCGTCTGAGAGGGGCTTGCTGAAATTTCAGAAACCGCGCTCGGTTCAAAGTGACGGGTGTGAATGGAATGAGGCCGTTACCGAGTAGTTTCGATCGCGATTTCTGGAAAAGAAACGTTTGAAGGCTCAAGAAAAAGGTTCACGTGATTCTTTCATTGTTATCTGAACAGTTCAGATTACTGAGAATGGCCTCAAAAAGAAGAAACGTACTCGAAAGCCTATCACCTCGCTGTCGATTAGTAGAATAGGTCCGATCAGTAAAATACGCAGTATAAGCATTTTATTTGCATTCCATTTTTAGCTACAGTAATTTATGTGTTCCTGAAAGATTATTATCGCAGAAGAACGAAAGAGAAAGGCGCCACGTTCGGCTTTGTAGGAGAATCGGCATGATAGATAGATGGTTGGTGCTTTCTGTTGAACTCTCCACAAGGTTGTTATGTAAACTTTGTTGGCTTAAGTCTTCATTTACGGCTTTGGATGAACCTCCCCTTTATTAGGCTACGTTTCGGCGGGGATCGCCTTCTTCAGAGCCTGAAAGGGTCGAAACAATTTATGACTACCCGACCAAATGTCTTAGCAAACCCTACTGAAGTTCGAGATCAAAGAACTCATCACGTAATCCAAAGGTGGGCCACCTACCGTAATACAGTCCGGTTGTCGAGACCACTAGACAGCAGTGAGACGATCGGTCCTTTGCTGGCTTACGTTTTGACGGGATCGCCTTCTTCGAGCTTGAAAGGGTAAACATAATTTGTGACTACCCGAAGAAAACTCCTTCACTATCCCACCGGAATTCGAGGTCCAAATATAATAGATCATTACGCAACCTTAATGGACACTTACCATAACTCGGTCCGTCTCGTGACACGCAGGATCACTACCGATCCGGACCGAGCATAGTTCTTGCTACTGCCCAACTACTGATCCCTGCGCGGACTGAAGGATTACGGTAAGTTGCTCTTACGTTCGTGATGATCTATTGAATCTCAGTTTCGGTCGGCTAGTTGGCAGACTTTGTCGAGCGTCACAAATTACTTTGATCTCCGCCAGGAAGCGATCCTGCCGTGGCCGTAACCAATAAGGTCTATATACATTCACCTCTTGGAGAGTTAACAGCAGATCATATCACTTTAAAGAAAAGCCATTCGCACTCAACTCCCGCGCAGTTACAGAAAGGGTCTATTCAGTTAAGCATACTGTTAGCGGCGCCGATCCAATCCTAAAAAGCCGGATACATCTTCTCCTCAGTAATAAGTTAGGACTAACCTCAGAAGTTAGGGATACCCCTATTGGAGCAATCCTCGGTTCTCGGGTTGGATTTTTTCCCCTTTTTATGAACCTGGTAAACTATCTGTTGTTTTAACGTGTTAATGTTACCAAACACAAAACCGTGCTTTACAAAACCAGCATCAACAGGAAAAAAGCCTGATAGCACTTCGTAGCTTCGAAGGACTCCCTGAGCCAGACTGATATTGGAGCAGACTGTACACTGCAATGCCCCCTAACTGGAATAGAACCCAGAAAAGAAGTGAGAAAGAACGGGATAAATTGAACAAATTTCCACTGACTCAAGGCTTACTATGTACAGAAACCTACCTTCACTTCGACAGCAAATGGAAATTATGCCTTATTTATTCTTATTAGCAATAGTCATTGAACTAGGGAATTTGCACTTTTTATGAACCTTTTAATGAGACCTCGATGAGCCGAAACAGCGTTGAAAATATTGAGACCAAAATTGCTCCGAAAACTTTCCAAGCAAGTTGTGAGCGGTTGGTGGCAAGAAACGTAGCAAAGAACTAATCCATGGCGTCATTTGGCCCTGTACCAAAAATGCATGCCATATTTGTGAACAGGCCAACCATGTTCCTCTATGAGCGGATTTCAGAGAAAAATTTTAAAATACTGATGCTGATAGGTTAGTTCGCCTGACTATACTGACTCTGCCTTTCCTACCAGCTTCGACGATCATAAGGTGTTTGGAAAAGTCGTTAACAGCTTTGAACTACAAATTTCGAAACCAGCATTTGATTGTATCCACACCCAGATCTTCACTCATAGTTCCTTCGGGAGTGAGGGGCGGGAAAGGGGAATAACTTTCCTGGCCAGAGTTTGATCAAGAACGGGTTACCAATTTTTGTGCCGTTCCCCCAAGTCGCCAGCGCGGGCTTCAATGATCATAACTGCTGTACGATTTGCGCCCGACCTTTTTAGCAGCCCTCTCAATTCACTCGTTGACGGAGTCATTTTAAAGAGGTTTTAAAGCCCTATTAGTTACGGATCTTCCCGCACACGGGACGGTTTTTCCTCCATACACAGGAGAAACGAGGAAGAGAGGAAGGAGGAGGAACAAGATCTAAATGAACGAAAAGAGAGGACAAAATGGACAGCATGAAGAGATGTGAAATAAAGAACAAGGAGGAGACAAGGTGTGCAGAAATGGCTGGTGACCTACTTCAAACTGTAATCAGCAAACCTTAGCAATTCAGATTTGTATTAGAATGTGATTGTGCGATGTCCGGTGACCTTTTACCAGCCTACCAATTAATTCCACGTCGGCATCGTTACGAAAATAGGCTATGGTAGAAATTACAAAGTAAAGAATCAAGGCGATCCAGTAAACCGTTACCATTTTCTGTAATTGGTTCAGTAGCATGACTGAATGACAACTTTTTCTTTCTTTCAACTTTTTCTACTTTCTTTCTTTCACTTCAAAAATGACTCCGCCCAAGTTTTGTGGAATCCGTGTAGCGTTTCTGCTCAGTAAGAATGAGCCGAGGCCCAAAATGTATCCCTTTTAAGTGCTTCTTGCAAGCTTGGCATGGTTAGCTCAGTTGGAATGATTCTTCAGGCCTTTCAAGACACGAGGGTGGTCGTCCTCCTGTCTTAGCGCGGATTTCAATTCT